TCTGACTAATTCTAGGTCACTTGGTCTATCAGTTTATGATAGGGTTGTGTGAAAATTTCTCACTGTGATTGTTGTGCAAAATTATTCTCCATTTGCCCTATGGTCTATAGATGCTCATAAAGAAAGATGTGCTAGTGTGAAATGATAAATTAGAAAAAAAATCCATTCTTAGCCTTCTGTCCCATTCCCTTTCCCTCTCATTTCTGATTAGGTTTGGCATACCTCCTTGCCCCAGCGTAAGGATCGGAACTCATTTTGGGCAGCCCCTCCAGCACAAGTCTTGCTCCCATTGAGCCCCAGTAATACTGTTCCCTCAAGTCCTTGGGGGAGTCATGGCTTCCCACTGTTGCTGGTTCTTTGGTCCTCACCGTTCCTTCTTGTTCTTTCAATCCTTTAACTCCTTGTTTAACACCTCATCCCATCTTCCTTATCATTATAGAGAATTTTAAATCTACCTTTTTGGTGGATGGGAGATGGATTAAATGGGTGATGGGTATTAAGGAGGGCACTTGTGTTGAGCACAACTCAAGAGAATATCTAAATATGCACACCCCCTGCCATGGTGATGGAAAGCAGGTGTTTGCGAGAGCCTCCATGACTTCCTTTTATCTTGAAGTTCTTTTCACCAAAAACAACTTGTTCTGAGTGCTTGGGATTTATATTACCCAATGAAGACTTTGGATTTCACATATGCTTTGAGATAAACCTCTCTTGTTTCTTTCTTGTCCAAGTTCTGCATTTCATTTTTCTTGTTTATCTTTTGCTCTTCCAGCAATGATGTTCTTTTTTTTCCCCCTTCAAAATGAACCAATTACAATTTTCCACTTGAAAATAAATTGCATCATACTTTTATTCCCTGTTTTCCAGGTCATTTGTTTTTCCAAGTGACTCAGATCTTGCTAAGAATTTTGTTAGCGGCTCCCAAGTATGATGCATTGTAATTCTCCTTGAAGGTGAAAAGTGAAAAGTATAGGAGCAAGTCTAGCCTTTGGCCTGAGGCTTTTACCTAGAATCCTAAAAACTGAGCTTACATGTGATTTTGCCTGATCTACATGCTGACCTTTTCCCTCACCAAAAGGTATCCAAAGACTTCCTATTTCAACCACTACCATAATCTCTGTGCCATGAAGACTCATAAAAGCAGTAAACATGGGGCACCTGGGTGGCTCAGTCGGTTAGGAATTTGACTCTTGATCTTGGCTTAGGTCATGATCTCAAAGTTTGTGAATTCAAGCCCTGTGTCAGGCACAAGAGCCTTCTTGGGATTCTGTCTGTCCCTCTCTCTTATCCCTCCCCCCGCCTGCCTCTCTCACTCTCTCAAAGTAAATAAACTTAAAAATAAAATAAAATAAAATAAAAGCAATAAATGCATGTGAAAATTACTTATTTGAATATTTCAGTTGATGGTCTTGCTTTGTGTTATTGCTTTATAAGTCAACAGTAAGTCTTTATAAGACATCTCATAACTAAGGAAGTGTGGAGATGCTAGTTTGATCAAAACATCAAATTACTACCAGAATGAGATTATAACCTATGTTAAGTAGAACAATTCTGTGAAAATTATCAGAACTGTATTTATTTTTTTAACTGGGCCTCCAAATTTGGGCAGTCTACCTCATTTCAATAGACTGAGTACTAGATTGGCAACAAAGTACTCCTAAATTCGAACTTCAGTTCTACTGCTGATTGGCTGTATGGGGTAAGTAAACCATTTGTTGTTTCTTTGCCTTTGGCCTTGTAAAATATAAAAGTAGAAAAAAATTAGGGTGCCTGGGTTAGGTGTCCAACTTCGGCTCAGGTCATGGTTTTGGGCTCCGCATCGGGCTCTGTGCTGACATCTTGGAGCCTGGAGCCTGCTTCAGATTCTGTGTCTCCCTCTCTCTTTGCCCCTCCCATACTTGTGTTCGTTCTCTCTCTCTCTCTCTCTCTCTCTCTCTCTCTCTCTCTCTCAAAAATAAGTAAATAAATATATAAAAAAATAAATAAATAAAATTAGAAAAAGATTTAAGTCATGGCAGTTGAGTCCTTAATATTTAATTTGAGGAATTACTTGGCTCCAGGGCCACTTTTTAATTTCTAATCAAGCACTCATAGAGCAGAGCATCAATAGCTTCTCTTTACTGCCTGGCCTGTCTCTCCTCAGCCCCACACTGCACACCCAACCTCTCCCAAACAAGGGCTTTTGTAGCCCATAGAACAATGGCGACTATCTTTGGAAATAAGTGTGTGAATAACTCAAATATATTCTGTTATTTTTGCACATTTATTCAGATAGCTTTTATGCTTCTTTTCTAAAGTTAGGTTGCCCAATCATTTAGATGATTTCAGAGGATAATAAAGAGCTTTAAAATACTGATAAGAATGCCACAAAAATGAACAAGAACTAAGATCCTTTGACTCAGAGAATGGGAAATTTATCTGAGGTAGGAATGAGCTTATTGCTGTCAGCTTCCACTGTTTGAAAGTTATTTTATAGAGGATAATGTCTTTGTTCCTTATCCCCACTAAGATTAAGGCAACAAGAAAGTATTACTCAGCCATAAAAATGAATGAGATCTTGCCATTTGCAACAACATGGATGGACCTGAAGGGTATGATGCTAAGTGAAATAAGAGGAAGACAAATACCGTATGATATCATTTATATATTGAATCTTAAAAAAACAACAAAAAAACCAGAAACAGACCCCTAAATACAGAGAACAGACTGGTGGTTGTGGGGGTGGGGGATGGGAGATAGGCAAAGTATGTGAAAGGCAATGGGAGGTACAGGATTCCAGTTGTGGAATGAGTAAGTCACAGGGATGAAAGGTACAGCATAGGGAATATAGTCAATGGTATTTCGATAGCATTCTATGGTGACAGATGGTGGCTACACTTGTGGTGAGCACAACATAACTTACAGACTTGTCAAATCACTATATTGTACACCAGAAATTAATATAACATTGTGTGTCAACTATACTTCAATTAAAAAAAGGAAAGAAAAAAGACAAGAAAGTAATCATGAAGGAATTACATTAGATACCAGTAGAGAGGTCTATTAAGATACCAGACAGGTATCTTCTCTGAAGAAACAAAACAAAACAAAACAAAACAAAAGATCCTGACCCATTACAGCTATCCCAGAGTCAGGGAAGTGAAGTGTCTCTTTATACCTCATCACATTCATCAGCTTCCTAGGGTCTTAAATGCCTCCTTAAGGAACTTTGTAGCTTCTTTTAGCATCTTAGTTTAGTCTCTTTTCATTCTTGCAGCAAGAACATATTAATGCTGAATAGGATCTCCTCAGTACATGTAGGCTTCTGCCCTCTTTCCTCTGGGAAGGGAGGACAAATGATCACCACTCCATGTGACATCCCTCAGTACTCAATTCCTATACCACTTTTTTTTTTTCCTAGCCCTCACTGGGTTTATCTTCCAAAGACTTAATTATTGTTATCTCTTTGATTTTATGATGAATGGCAATTCTGACACCCTCTGACCCTGAGAAGTAGATAATTCTTGCCTTTATCTTTGCACTAAGAATTAAAAAAAAATTTTTTTTTTCAACATTTATTTATTTTTGGGACAGAGAGAGACAGAGCATGAACGGGGGAGGGGCAGAGAGAGAGGGAGACACAGAATCGGAAACAGGCTCCAGGTTCTCAGCCATCAGCCCAGAGCCTGACGCGGGGCTCGAACTCACGGGCCGCGAGATCGTGACCTGGCTGAAGTCGGACGCTCAACCGACTGCGCCACCCAGGCGCCCCTGCACTAAGAATTTAAACGCAATGGAATATATGGGCAAAGATAGGTCATTTCTCTTTTGCACATCACCAATTGCAAGATTTCTTTTCATGAAAACCAGTGTATCAATTTTCTATTGAAATACATTTTGTAAAGCATGAAAAAAATTTAATCTTGTGCTCTCTAGCTGTCAGAGAGATGAATGGCTCTTCTATTTCAAAACGGCTGCCAGGGATCATTTCTCTCCTTGGTGAACTGTCAGGCTTCTCTTTATGAATCTGGTACATTATAGGTGGCTAAAGTAGCTTGTCATTGTCAGGAACTGATGCAAACAGTTGTTTCTCTACCTATGGTGTATAACCAGTTTCCTAGGACTGAAGGATATTGAGTTACAATGTACTTAATGCAGAGAACTGAATACACTGTGTTTTACGTTTAAAAATTATTTTTATTAAGATCAAATTCACATAACATAAAATTAGCCATTGTATTTTTATTTACTTATTTTGAGAGAGAGAGAGAGAATGAGCAGGGGAGGGGCAGAGAGAAGGAGAGAGAATCCCAAGCAGTTCCCACACTGTCAGCACAGAGCCCAATATGGGGCTCAAACTCACAAATTGTGAGCTCATGACCTGAGCCATAATCAAGAATCAGATGCTTAACCCACTGAGCCACCCAGGCACCCCACATAAAATTAGCCATTTTGAAGCGACCAATTCGTTGACATTTAGTACATTCACAATATTATGCAATCTATATCAGGATCCAAAATATTTTTATTACTCCATAAAGAAATCCCATACCCAACTACCTACAGATTTTGCCAACCACAGTCTGCTTTCTGACTCCGTAAATTCACCTTTTCTGGATACGTCATTTAAATGGACTTTTACAATATGTGACCTTTTGTATCTGGCTTCTCTCACTTAGCACAATGTTTTCAAGGTTCATCCACACTGTTACATGTATCCAGTACTTCATTCCTTTTTTTATGACTGAATATTGCATTGTTTACTATAATTTGTTTATCAATTCATCCATTGATGGATTGTTTCTACCTTGTGGCTATTGTGAATACCTCTACTATGAACATTCATATACAAGTATTTGCCTGAGTACCTGTTTTCAATTCTTTTGCATGTATACTGAGGAGTGGAATCGCTAGGTCATATGGTAATTCTGTTTAACTGTTTGAGGAGCTGCCAAACTGTTTTCCTACATTTATCTCTGAAAGAGAAAACCCACAGCATTAATGAAATGAACCTGTCTTAGCAGGGAGAGCACAGCCCTCTGAACTTCTGAGAATTCTCTGAAGAATTGAAGGGCACATAGTCATTGGCAGTGGAGTTTGTGTTAGCTGACTCACCTCTGTGCCTAGACAGACAACACCAAAATACACACCGAACAACAGTAAGCACCATCTGCGTAAAATATCAGAGAAAGAAATCTTAAATCAGCCCCCAAATCCAGGTAAGCTTTTGCCAGTTGTTTCTTTCAGATGCTTCAATCATTGCAAACCTATTGCCCCTTGGCCACATTGCTACTATAACAAACCTCAAACCCAATTAAGAGAATTGCTTTAAATGAAGAAGCCAATTCTGAGGAGGTTTATTCTTAGAAAAATTTGAAAAAATAGTCTAAGTTTGCCAGGAGCCAGGTTTAGCTGCTTCCTTCCTGTCAGCATAAAGATCCACACTTTGAATATTTGACTAATTTTAGCATATTAATTACCATTTAATTATCACATAGGAAGACATCCCCAAAACCTACTTGGTTGTGGAAAAATTGGGGTAAGGACTAATCTAGTTTGCCTGTTGTGGAAATAGACGAGCCTTTTAAAAGTCCATCCCTATGTTCAGTTTTCTGAATGTCCCATAGGCATTTCTTTTGGGATATTGATATTGAAGATGTAGGGGAGCACAAAATGATAACAGCCCACACCCATCCTACAGTGCCAATATAAAAGGCGGCGTTAGGATATCTAACCTCATGACATAGACACAGTTTACCATCCCATGCTTAATCAAGCTGGTCATGGTGTGCAGTGGAATTGCGGCCATGACAGAATTAAGATGGAATAAACTAGAAACAAAAACACTACTCTTTCTTGGAGGTTTTGTTCAAGTTACTAGAGTTGAGACAATGAGCACCCAAAAAATGAGCTCATCCACTGTGGATCTTGCCATGTTGTAATTCAGAATTACTCCTTGGAATCACAAAGCTATTACAGTCTGAGTGGCATGGTTGCCAGAGAATGAATCCTCAGAAAACCCTGGGCAGTCCGAGTCAGAAGAGCTGCTCCTTGGCTGCTAATCCACTATGTCTATAATAGTTCAGCCTGATCACTGACATTACGCAGCCTGAGTCACATGCTCTTGGAGATTACGTCAACTCTAACTAAAAAGGTCAGAAGGGGACAGGGAGGCAGGGCAGTTTGGGGTTGTGCAGATGCACTCTTTGGTCAGATGGCAAAGGAACATATTAGGGAGAACAGGCTTTGTGGGGTCTCCTTTCCTCACACAGAAGAAGCCCTCTGTCAGGAAGGCTCACAATTTCCTTAAAGTAATGAGTATGCCTATGAAGAAGCAAACTGTCCCTAAAGTAGAATTGTTGAACCCAGTCATGCATAACTGGTGGTAGCAGGCAGGAGACAGCCTGACACTTCAGGCCTCAATAATATTCAGATTTTGGCTCATAGAAGAATTTGTGTTAAAATTTTACATTAGTTAAATCCCTAAAGATCGACTAACATTTTCCAAGGACAAGAGAAATCATTTTTTGTATGAGAGTCCATATTCATTTCTCTGCAATTTATCTTCTTGAGCTATTACAAAATTCTTAACATATTAAGCTACTCTTGATATTTTTTTTAAACAATCTCAAGAAATGCATTTGATCCTGGGGAATAACTCACAGCAATATTTTTGGGTGATTCCTGGGTGCACTGCTTAGTAAACTGAGTCCAGGCTGCACATTATATTAGAGATCATCAGGTGATGTCCTTTCAGCTGGCACACAGGGCCCTTCCTGCCAGAGAGGAGGGCAAGTTCTTGGTAAACGTGCAAGGCTCATATGACTAACGAGAGTTGGTTTGGCCCTTAGTGAGATCTGAAGTCCCATTAAACCAAAATAGGAATCAGGGTGTCACTTCAACCTTGTGAAAGCTCCAAGAACTATTCCTATCTTCAGTACAGAGAAAATGAATTACAGAACCCCAATGAAAACAAAAACCCACAAGTGTTGCCATAGCCACCTCATCCTACATTCTGATCCCAGCAGAATTACCAGAGGAATTTTGTGGAAGGGAAGTTGGGTTTCTTCAGTGTTGATTTCAAAATGTCAGAGAGAGATTTCAGCTTCCATTAGTAAACTCCTATCAAGCCACTAGACATAGAAGCTATTTCTGTAACTCATGTATTCCTAACTTCCCAGTGTATGACTACAGTGGAAATTATCCTTCCATTTTATACCAAAATTATGACAACCTTCTATCCTACCAGCCCATTTGCTAGGAAGTCACCTCTCTCAAAGTGCTTTCAATTATATCTGAAACCTTATTTTTACTCCTTATTTATATAAAACTCTAAAATAGAGCTTTCCTATACATCCCCTCTGGCCTTCTCAGTACACTGCTTTGACTTTCAGGAAAGTTTGGCTGTCATGGGCTCAGTTCTCCCCAGTGTTGTCCCCCTATCAGCTTCAGGAAAGAGAAAATATTTTCCTTTGGGCCAAAGGGAGCATCTTGATTGTGCCTCCTGCTTTTTGGTGTGGCCAAAAGCAGATACAATGCCTTTCCAGCCTAGGAGTTCCTCAAACTCTGATTATTTCTCTCTCTGAGCTGCTGTTGTCTGCTGCCATTCCTGACAAGCACAGAAACTTGTTTTTGCTGCAGCCTTGGGGAGAGCTCACTGCCAGCGTTAGCCTGCTCGAAGCTTCTCCATACCTCAAAGTCCAGGACCAAATAGATGTCTGATTCAGAGAGTCATGGAAGTCCTTCCTTCCACAGTCCATGGCTTCAATTTATTTCCTACATGGGGATTATCCAGTTCCCAGGATGATTTATAGTGAGCACATTCATTTTCTAAAAAGAAAAACCTACTTCCACCCAACCATTGAGTCCAACAGGTGCCCCTTGACCCAATAATACAAAGTACTATAATATTGGCCTTTATCACAAAGTCAGGTGTAGTCTCTTGTACTATTTCTTAGGTACAGAGATCTCTACGTGCATTAATGCATCAGTGAGGGTTCAGCATAGGTCTGGAAATGGACGGCTACTACATGAAGGTAATTGAAGGAGGTTAGTAAAGGCACTATTCACAAGGTATGAGTAGGGTTTACAGAAATCAACAGGGGTTAATGCAGTATCTGGGGGTTAACAACAATGGGGGGGTTGTTGCTGCCCATACATCTGAAGTGAGAAAGGAAGAGTGTGTTTCCTAAAACCCAGAAGGAATATGGAGAGAGCTATCTGACCAGAGTGGTAGCCCTGAACACCCTGGTAGAGAGAGAGCAAGGGAGATGGGGAGTAAATAACCTCACTCTTCTCTGTCTTCCAGAGTCCTGCTCGGTGCCTATCACTACCGCCCCATTCACCAAACCCAGAGCTAGCTAGAAGGCAAGGGGGTTGGTTGCTGTGGTCCATAAAGGTCAGCTTCCCAGCACCAGAGCAGGGAAGAGAAGGATAAAAATTAGATTTAAAGAGGCAAAAGAAGCAAAACTACCTATTGTGAAACTCAAGTGCTTTAATTTTTTTCTCTAAGTTTATTTCTTAAGAGTTGTAAGACCTGTTCTAACATTAGTGTGAGGGTTCTATTAATAGATTCGCCTGATGTTTACCTCTTGATTTTAAAAGCTTTAACCAAAACAAACAAACAAAATAAATAAATAAAAATTAAAAAATAAAAGCTTTAACCATATGCCCCCTAAGTCATTGCTATCCAAAACCTAAGTTGCCTGGTCATTTTTGTTGATCTCTACTCAGCAGGAGCCCTTTCTCTTCAAATATTTTATTACTTCTCTGTCCTTCTGAATCTCTCTCGTGATTTCCTTAAGGTGCAGCAGCTAAAGCTTCATACCTTATTCTAGAAGCATGCAAACTCAGATAATAATAGGAAATATACTAAATAAGGAGAACTTGAAGAACAGTAAAACTAAAATAAAATTTAGAGAAATAGAAATTATAGCAGTCTTGGAAATTAGAACAATTTAGAGGTGGTTAGGAATTAGGAGATATTAATACGAAATAGACCATAAAACCGAAATTCATAGCAGGCGTTGGGGTACAAGTTTCCATAAGCTTTAATATATTTTTGATGACTTGATATTGATCCTATTTTAGGGGGAGTATTTTGCATAGCGTAATCAAATAGTTCTCGTGACTAGATAGGACTCTAGCCTCCAAATGCAATTCCAAATGTGATAATACCAACAAAGCCTGAAAGGGGTGGGAATGAGGATGAAGATGGAAGAGAAAAAGGCAGGTAAATCTTCCATTCTGTGTGAGAATGAGCACCTGTTAATTTTTGTTAATATAAAAATGTAAGCTTAGATATGTAAGGATCATCATTAACCATATAAAGATGGAAATCAGAACTTTCAAAACACTGGAAAGGGCAGAAAAAGAATAACAAAACTCTACCATCTAGCAAAAATCATGAAAGGAAAAAATATGCAACAAGAAAACATAAGTTGGAAACATAAAATATGATAGGCCTACCACATTCTTCCTCATCACCCATCTGGAATTTTTCTTTGACTCCTCTCACTTAACATGTCAGTGTGACTGACTCACTTGATCTTTCCTTGGAAAAATCTCTTGTGTCTGATCACTTCAATTCCCATGCCCACACCTCTCATATCCTTGTCCTGTACTAATGCTAATGTTCAAGCACAACATATCCTACCTTAGCCTCACCGCAGCAATTAGCGCAATCTACATAAAACATAATATCACACCTCTACTCAGGGCTCCCCATTCATTACCATCTACCCTTCTTACCTGATTTTCAAGGCCTTCTATGATATGACCCATCTGTGTTTCATCAATTCTAAGACCTATTCTTAAAATATATTAAAACATCTCTGAAATCAGAGTGCATCTTATAATGAATGGCAATCTTGGCATCTTAGATTCAATGAAATACGGTTATTTTCTCAGTTCTTGGCTTGCTATGGGACACCTCTGTTCTAGGAAACAGGACCTCTCACTTTGCTGTGCTATGACTCATTCTGTCAAATGAGTGGCAGAAACCTCAAGCTTCTTAACCAGTTGGTTAAGCTCCAAATTTTTGTTCAGGGATTTCCCTCTGTCAGGGTATCCCTCTCTCTGGCCTCCTTTCCTATATGGGCCCATCTTTCAGACCGAGCTCAAAGGCAGCTCAAAGAGTGCTTTGTTCACTACCTCAGCTGGAAGCAACCTTCCCTTGGAATCCTCCCAGTTCCTTCTTTGTAACTCTAGCAACTCTTATCACATGGTTCCTTTTAGTTTACATACTTGGATACATATTTGGTCTGTACACAGGACTCCTAGAGTCCTGCAAATTGCTTGTGAAGGCAGCTAAAATTGTGACATTCTGTGAAAGAACATAAATTTGCTTCACTAATGCAATCCAGGATATTCAGTTTCTTTAAAATCTGTGAAGTACTGCCATTCCAGAACTCAAGAAGAGCCTTGTTTTGAACTGCCCTCTACAGGTAGTATATCATCAGTGAGCCAGAGAGAGGCCTAAGACCATGGATCAGCAACACATGCTGGAAGACACTCAGATGGGATGGAGAGCTGCTAGGAGTGGCTGCCCAACTGGCAGGACTCACTGGCCCTATTCCTGGCAGTAGCCTTTGGAAAGGTCAAGCTCTGAAAAACCATGTTCCTTAGAGATTGTCAGTCCTCTCCACTCTTTATCCTCACATGAGCCATGATGTGGATCCAAGATGGGGCCAGGTGGAGGACTCTTGGTTTTTCAATTTACCCTTCCCTCCAGAAATCCAGACTGGACTGGAAGTCCAAGAACTCTGTTACCTCAATAGGCACCTACAGGGAGACACTGAACATAACCCAGCCCTGTCTGAGGGTATAGCCTGGGAAAGAGGGCTAATGTTCACACCATCATCTGCAACAGATTCTTCTCCATCACAGCTAATTTTGAACTCTCTGAAGTTATGTAAATACATCTTTGTTGTAATATATTACAAGCCTTTCTCTAAGAAAACTTTCGTGGCCACAAGATAATAAAAATCTGCTCAAATGCCCTCTTGCTACTGACGTGCCATTCTGTGGCTAAATTTAAAATGACTTGTGAAATTTCCTGCTGACTTCTGCTTCCTAAGACTAGTGCCATTTTCTAAAAGGCCTCCCAGTTAACCAGCTTTCCATGGGTAACCTCTTGGCCTCAGTCTCGACCAACAGAGGGGGTTGGTTAGAGAAGCTTGAGGTTTCCGCCAGCTTCTACATTCTGACATCTGTTCAGTACTCTACGTAGCTCATTTCCCCTGCACTGGGTGTTTGCATGAATGAGTATGAAACTCACTTTTCTGAAACAAAATGGTTGGCATGTTCCTTGAAAGCTTTCTATAAGATGTTATTACTTTCCAATGGCTTCACACCAGAAGGCCTCACATAAAAGTCACAATTGTCGATCTGATTTCACCAAAAGAAATCATTTTAAGAATTTTTTTACTCATTGAAAGAGTCATTATTATAGAAAATGTAGACAATATAGAATGTTAAAAAAAAAAAGAGGTAAAAATTGCTTCAACTCTGACATTGTTAACACTATGGCATGTATCCTTATAAGTTTTCCTTGCATGTATAGTCATGATTTTTTCAAAAATATTTGATATAGAATTGAAATCACACTTTGCAAACTTTTTTTTAAGCTTGTTCTTATCCTTTAATGATAAATCATTAACATTTTCCTTTGTCATTATGCAACAGTTAACTGTGTGGACTCTGGAGGTAGCCTGTCTGAATTTGAATCCTGGCCCTGTTGTCACTTACTATTGTGTGACCCTTGGGCATGTCATTTAAGTGAAATATGTACTTCAGATTCCTCATTGGTAAATGGGGATAATAATATTTACTTCACAGAGTTGTTGTGAATATTTAAGTGAGTTAGCATTTGCCGAGAACTTAGAACAGTGCCTGACAGGTAGTACGGGCTTTATAAGGCTAGCTACAACTACTATGACTACTACTACAATTTTGCTACAACATCATTTTAAAGACTGGATAGGATTGCATTTTGGGGGATATAGCATAATGTATTTAGTCAAAGTCCATTGCTGGGTAGAGTGTTCTACTTTTTGTTATTTTGAGCAATACTGCAAACAGACATCTTTCTTCCACTGCATTTGTAACAGGACAGACTATACATCAAGCAGGGAAGGAGTATAGATAGTGATGGGAAATGGAAGTACTATCTTTTACTTTCTTGGTTTTGAGCTTGGTTGGAGAGGCAGGTGTCACCAGTATTTCACTTTTGCCTGGAAGACTGCTGCTGAGAAACTACTCAGACTTTATGGCTCCACCCAGTCAAATAGCGGATTGTCCTTCCCACATTGAATCACTAGTAATCATATCCTTAGATTCTGATAGAAGGGTCCTTAGCCAGCCATGTCATATACTTTTAGTTCCTCATGCAACAGCTGTCATAGAATTTCTCAGCCCTGAGGGTTCAGCTCCAAGGAAGCCTTGGAAGACACTCACTGAACTCAGTGAGCCCCTGGAGCCTCCCTCTCTTCTAGGCTGGTGCATGAGATCCTGTTAGAGATGCTTCTGCTCTCGTTTAGAGTTTGATTCCTGTGGCCTTTCTCCCAACACTACTGGGGACAAGTGGAAGGGGCCTTTTTCTGAATCCTGATCCCCTGCCCTTTCTAATGGGAATGGTTATGGTGCATTCTGATAAAATAGGAATAGTATCCTCTCTACAGGTTGAGAGAATTATAGACTTAGAGGTATTACATGGCTTCATGGAACAACCTTATGCAACAAAGCTATGCCAGTGCAGATGAACACTGGCAACAGGCAGCTCCTCCTAAGAGGACAGTGACTCATAAGATCATCTTCATGAAACTGCACAGGGAGGCATGTCAAATGCCTGCTTATTACTATCTCTCTGTTAAATGTTATCACCAACAAAACCACCTACTTGGAGCTCAGCTTCTCCTAAAAGTTCATAACATACCATATTCCAAAAGACTCACAACTTCTTGATTTCTGCCTTTATTATCTCCTGGGTTCTCTGAAGGTATTATCTCCTAGCTTCCCTGGAAAGTTCTACCCACCTGCTACTCCCATGGGTTCTGGAGAAATACACTACGTTGAGAATTCACTTAATACATGGAGACAGGAGAGCTCTCCCATAACCTCAACCATCTCCAATCAACTGGATATTTAACCTGGAGCCAGAGGTCTATGTCTCTTCCAGTAGGTAGACACTTTCTTAGAATACAAGGACGAGGACACTGATGCTAAATAGAAATAGTGGCAAAAATGGGTAAAATTAGTCTATACTTTTAGAAGTCAGAAATCTGGTCAGGAAAGTAGGGGGAAAGAGGGCAAGGGAGACTTCTAGGAGGCTGGTAACATAGTCTGATAACATAATTTGGACCTGGGTGCTGATTACATGGATGTGTTCATTTTGTGCAAATTTAATGAACTGTACGCTTGAGATAAGTGTGCTTTTTGTGTGTGTGTTGTATTTCAATAAAAAAATTTCACCTGGGTAGTTCAGTTGGCTAAGCATCTAACTCTTGATTTTGGCTCAGGTTGTGATCTCAGGGTTCATGAGTTTGAGCCTGGTGTCGGCTCCACAATGACAGGGCAGAGCCAGCTTGGGATTCTCTCTCTCTCTCTTTCAAAATAAATAAATAAACTTAAAAAAATTTCAGTAGAGGATATCCATAAACTGGATTAAATATAGAATATCATCTCTTAGGACTAGTGATTCTTTCTTATGACTACTAGATTTAGCAGATAAAAATACAGGATGCCTCACTAAACTTCAATTTCAGACAGACAACAAATAATTTTTTAGCACAAGTATGTCCCATGCAATATTTGAGATATGTTTATACTAAAAAAGTATTCATTGCCTATGTGAAATTCAAATATAGCTAATCACCCTGTATTTTATCTGGCAACCCTAATCTTAAATCATCTAAGTATGTTTTATCTTTGATGTAATGAGCAAGTGAGAAAAGGATATATATTAAGGATATGTAGTCTTAGATGGAAATACTGAAATGTATAAATAAATTATAGGAGACAGAAATGAGAAAATAAGTGCTCTAGTTTTTCACTTACTCCATTCCTCCTTCAATTAATACCCCTCTTCTGTTTTCAGGTCCTCATTCCCACTTTCGTGTCAATGAAGAGAACAGAAATAAGATAAGCCAGAGAAATAAGGTAGTGCCAAAATCATTCACACTTCCATTTACTGAGTTTGAATTTGCAACTCTGTTGGTGTTTCTGAACATTCAGTCCTGATTTGTCTATGTTCTTGTTTCTTACTTTTTATTGAACTGCTTCCCCTCTATTTTCTCTTTTTCAGAACTCTGTAACCTCTGCCCCGTTGGAAGTTGAACCCTTCCCAATATAAGCAGTGTTTTTCCTGCCTTTTCTTATCTTTAGGTTTCATAGGCTAAACCTGAAAAATCTATTTGTTATTGATCTCAGAAAGGTCATTTTTCCCTTTTCTCTCTCCAGAAACGTTAACTAATATGTAGCTGGTACATTTCAACTATGGTTCTCACACAGTTGGTAGATTTAAACCAAGTTTTCAGAATTCCATCTCCCCTTTCTTTCCTATACTTCCCACTCTTAAGGGTGAAGAAATTCCAGCACAAATTATTTAGTACAACTAGGCTGTGTCAGTAAATGGAATCAAGTCTCAAAGGTTTTGTGCTTTGATATATTTTCAATACATAGAAATGGTGGCAATAAAATGAAATTATTTTCTGCATCCACAAAGGCTTCCAAGTCATGATTCTGTAATACCAAGAGTGTTAGCACTTATTTGGAGTAAAATTCTTAAGTCAGAAATGATTGTAATATCCTTTCATTTAAGCAATAACTACATCTCCTAAAATACTTGAGGGGAGGTAGAAAGGGGGAAGATGAAAGTTGCATCCACATCAAGGACAGATGATATTGTGTTTCAACAGCCCACTTTTGAAACCGTTGTTCTAAACGCTGGCCAATTCTTTCAAAAGTTAGTGGTTTTCTGCAATGTTGTCAACTAATGTGTATTTCTTTTTTTTTTTTTAATGTTTATTTATTTTTGAGAGGGACAGAGACAGAATGCAAGTGGGTTAGCGGCAGAGAGAGAAGGAGACACAGAATCCGAAGCAGGCTCCAGGCTCTGAGCTGTCAGCACAGAGCCCGACGTGGGGCTCAAACTCACAAGCTGTGAGATCATGACCTGAGCCAAAGTCGGACGCTCAACTGACTGAACCACCCAGGCGCCCCACTAATGTGTATTTCTGATTGAACCACTTCACTCATCATCGATCCAGTCATTTCTAAATGACGCCAGGGAACACTTTTCACTGATTTCCATACAATTGATTGAAATAACTGGTTATCCTGTTGTCATGGAGACTATGTGTGTGTGTGTGTGTGTGTGTGTGTGTGTGTGTATTACTCCTGTGTTAATGAGTATTACTGTTATCAATTACCTTTGCTGAGAGAGTGGGGGAGATAGGAGGAGGGCAGAATGATGAAACCCATTATATGCAGAGAATTTAAAAATACACAGAGACAAATTAGTATGAAAGTATCATAAACGCACAAAAAAGCACTAATTTTTATGGAACAGTATTAGCATAGATACATAAATCAAGTAGCTCTGGACTTTTCAGGACACTTTGTGAGCATTACTGAAAAGGCCCATTAATCAATAAATGACTTAAACAATTGTGGAATCCTTAATAGCTCTAATAGTTCCCATGCAAATGCAATAATGACGTTTAGCACCTAAATAAGTTGCAGGAATGTGCTGGGTTACCACTTACTTACTAACTACTTGCTTTTTTTGTCCCTAACATTTCTTTTTTTTTTTTTTTTTTGGATTTAATATTTATTTATTTATTTATTTATTTTTTATTTATATATGAAATTTATTGTCAAATTGGTTTCCATACAACACCCAGTGCTCATCCCAAAAGGTGCCCTCCTCAATACCCATCACCCACCCTCTCCTCCCTCCCACCCCCCATCAACCCTCAGTTTGTTCTGTTTTTAACAGTCTCTTATGCTTTGGCTCTCTCCCACTCTAACCTCTTTTTTTTTTTTTTTTTTTCCCTTCCCCTCCCCCATGGGTTCCTGTTAAGTTTCTCAGGATAACATTTCTATAACATTCAAAAGTCTCCAAAATCTGTCCCCACTTACTTTTCCAACCTTATCTCCTACAACTCCTTGAATTATTTCCGATCACGTCTCTTTATTAGCTTCTAGATCAGTGTCTCTATACCCAGGAGGCTGCCAGAATATCACCTTACTCACTTCCTCCCTGCCCACCCAAATCATCTTTCACTGTCCAGGTCCAGCTCAAAACCCACCACTCTCATTAAATTAATTGCCTTCTCTAGCTCACAGCCATCTTTCCTTTTGCCTGGCTATATTATTAAATTATTGTCTATACCACTAATATATTTTTTTACATACTAGCCTATACCATCTTCTGCAGTATTTTCTTAGAGTTATTTAATATGCATAAGTATATGAACATACTTTTGTAAACTATAAAGAACCATACCATTGTATATATATTATTGTCTTCATTACTAGTTTATAGCCTTCCTGAGATAGAGATTGCACATACATTTTCACATGACATCTAGGAGAGCAGGTCATACTCCATGGCCCCTCAGTAAATATTTTCTGATGAATAAATGCATGGAAAGCCACTGCTTTTGGAGTGGAGATAAACTACCAAAGTTTGCATTTGCCCCTTGTTAACTGTCTGAATTTGAACTATTTAATCTCTGTGCTTCAATTTCCTTATCCATACAATAGGGATAATAAAGATATTTACTTCATAGAGTTGCTTTGAGAATTAAATGAATTTATACATGTAAAGTGCCTAAAATAGCTTGTGTAGCACATAGCAAGTACTCGATGAATATCAGCTTTCTAATGAATGAACGAAACAGAATGGATTATAATGAAAATCTAGAGAAAACAATGGCTACTTTTGTTATTCCTCAATCTATGATTATAAAATTATACATAGTATATAACAATGTTAAGAGAAATTAGTATATCTCTAAGATATAAGCCATGATGATTTATTTCTGGAGAGAGTTTTCAGAATGAAGTTTGTACTCTATATGATTGACCTTTTTTTTTTTTTTTTTTTTATAATTTCCACGGTGGTTAACATACAGTGTTGTAATAGTTTCAGGTGTACAATATAGTGATTAAACAATTCCATATATTTCTCAGAACTCATCATAAGTGCACTCTTAATCCCCTTACCTGTTTCACCCACCCCGTCACCTACCTCCCCTCTGGTAATGCTCTGTTCTCTACAGTTTGGAGTTTGTTTCTTGTCTCTTTTTTTTTCCCCGTTGTTCATTTGTTTTGTCTCTTAAATTCTACATATTAGTGAAATTATATGGTATTTGTCTTTCTCTGACTGGATTATTTTTCTTAGCATTATACTCTGTAGCTCCATCCATGTTGTTGCAAATGGCAAGATTTCATTCTTTTTTTTATGGGTGAGTAATATTCCAGTGTGTGTGTGTGTGTGTGTGTGTGTGTGTGTGTGTGTACCACATCTTCTTTATCCATTCATCTATTGATGGACACTTGGGCTGCCTCCATAGTTTAGCTATTGTAAATAATGCTGCAATAAACGTAGGGGTGCATATATCTCTTCAAATTAGTGTTTTTGTATTCTTTGGGTAAATATGGAGAAGTGTGATTTCTGGATCATAGGGTAGTTCTGTTTTAATTTTTTGAGGAACCTCCATACTGTTTTCCACAGTGGCTGCACTAGTTTTCATTCCCACCAACACTCCACAAGGATTCTTTCTTCTCCACATGCTTGCCAACACTTGTTGTTTCTTGTATTGTTGATTTCAGTCATTCTGACAGGTGTAAGGTGATAGCTTATTGTAGTTTTGATGATGAGTGATGTTGAGCATCTTTTCATGTGTCTGTTAGCCACCTGGATGTTGTCTTTGGAGAAATTTCTGTTCATGCCTTCTGCCTATTTTTAACTGTATTATTTGTAATTTTTTAGTGTTACATAAATACTTTCATATTTTGGACACTAACATTTTGTCAGATATGTCATTTGCAAATATCTTATCCCATTCAGTAGATTGTCTTTTAGTTTTGTTGCTTGTTTCCTTTGCTGTATAGAGGCTTTTTATTTTGATGTGGTCCCAATAGTTTATTTTTGCTTTTGCTTCCTTTGCCTCAGGAGACATATCTAGAAAGATGTTCTTATGGCCAATGTCATAGAAATTGCTGCCTATGTTCTCTTCTAGGATAGTTATGGTTGCAGATATCACATTCAGGTCTTTAATCCATTTTGAGTTTATTTTTGTGTATAGTGTAATAAAGTGATCCAGTTTCGTTCTTTTTTGCATGTATCTGTCCAGTTTTCACATTTCTAGGCCTTCTATTGTGTTCTATTGATGTGTGTGTCTACTTTTGTCCCCAAACCATACTGTTTTGATTACTAAAGCATCATAATATAACTTTAAGTCTAGAATTATGATACCTCCAGTTTTGTTTTTCTTTTTTCAAGATTGGTTTGGCTATTTGGAGTCAGTTTTGGTTCCATACAAACTATAGGTTTGTTCTAGTTCTGTGAAAGATGCTATTAGTATTTTGATAGGGAATGTATTAAATCTGTAGATTGCTCTGTAGTATGGACATTTAAAAAATATTGGGTCTTCCAATCTATGAACATGGATTGTCTTTCCATTTCTTGTCGTCTTTAATTTCTTTCATCAATGTGTTATACTTTTTATAGTACAGAACTTCCACCTCTTTGGTTAAGTTTATTCCTAGGTATTTAATTATTTTTAGTGTAATTATAAGTGGAATTATTTTCTTAATTTCACTTTCTGCTACTTCATTATTAGTGTATAGAAATGCAACAGATTTTTGTACATTGATTTTTGTATCCTGCCATCTCGTTGAATTCATTTATCAATTCTAGCAGTTTTTTGGTGGAGTCTTCAGGGTTTTCTATATACAGTATCATGTCATCTGCAAAGAGTGAAAGATTTACTTACTCCTTACCAATTTGGGTGCTTTTTATTTCTTTTTATTATCTGATTGTTGTGGCTAGGACTTCCAGTACTATGTTGAATAAAAGTGGTGAGAGTGGACATCTTAGTCTTCTTCCTGACCTTAGGGGAAAAGCTCTGTATTTCCCCATTGAGTATGATGTTTGCTGTGGGTTTTTTATATAAGGTTATTATTATGTTAAGGTGTATTCCCTCCAAACCTACTTTGTTGAGAGGTTTTATCATGAATGGATGTTGTACTTTGTCAAATGCTTTTGCTACAACTTATCAAATGATCATATGGGTTTTATCCTTTCTCTTATTGATATGATGTATCACATTGATTGATTTGTGAATATTGAACCACCCTTGAATCCCAGGGATAAACCCCATTTGGTTGTGGTGAATGATTTTTTAATGTATTGTTAGAATGAGTTTGCTAATATTTCGTTGTGGATTTTTGCATCTATGTTCATCAGAGATACTGACCTATGGTTTCTTTTTTTTGTAATGTATCTGGTTTTGGTGTTAGGGTAATACAAGCCTTACAGAATGAATTTGGAAGCTTTCCTTCCTCTTCTATTTTTTTGTTTTACTTTTTTTTTAAGTTTATTTATTTATTTTGAGAGAGAGAGAGCATGAGCAGGGGAGCGGCAGAGAGGGAGAGAGAGAATCCTAAGCATATGCAGGGCTCAAACCCACAAACTGTGAGATCATGA